AATGAAATGGAGATCTTTTTTAAAGGTTAAAACCTCATTCAATTTTATGTCTTATAGGGTTTATACTGAGTACAATATTGTATAACTGTAATGATTCAACTGTGAACCTAAAAATTTACAGCCAAATTTGAAAGAGATGCATCCTACCTCAGGAAATTGTTATTGAATATGTCAATGCTGTTGTAATGAAATGCCTCTTCTAAGTATGTGGTTATTAAATAATTTTTTTAAAAAGAAAGAAATATATTCTCTGTGATGCTTCCATATAAGAATAAACATAAATGTTCTGTTAAAAAAAAGAAGGAGTACATGAAGTTATCAGAAAAAAGTGATAAGGAGATATGGAAGGAGTTGGAGGGAAGGGTGGGGGCATGGATTTGATTAAAATACCTTATATGCTTATACACCTGTATGAAATTCTCAATAAATTATTTTAAAAAAAGAAAAATGTAGCCCAGGCCAGTTAGGGCTTTGATTTCATTATTAACTTACTCATTCATCCTTCATTTAGTCAATCATTGAGATAGGGTCTTATGTACCCCACAGTGGGGTACACTATGCAGCTGAGGATGACCTTAAACTTATTTCTGATTCTGGTGCCTCCACTTCCCCAGTGCTGAGATTACCAGCATGTACCATCTGGTTTATGTTATGCTGGGGACAGAAGCCAGGGTTTCAGGCATGCTAGACAAGCACTTTACCATCTGAGCCACATCCCCAGTCCCTTGGGTTTTACTGTTTTTGTTGTTTTAATCTTTTGTAAGAGTTATTTGGAGTTTAAAATAAAACCCAAAATTATGTTAAGATTACTTTTAGTCATTTGCCATTAAGGGGGTACAACCAAGCTTAGTGATCAAGGGACGCTTAGCATGTGTAAGGCCCTGCGTTCTATCCCCAGCACTGTAAGAAAAAAAAAATCCTTCCCCAATTATTAAATGCATGACCACTATTTTTTTAAAAAGCATGCAAAACTTTGAGGCCAGGTGTGGTGGCGTGTATGTTAAGATTACTTTTAGTCATTTGCCATTAAGGGGGTACAACCAAGCTTAGTGATCAAGGGACGCTTAGCATGTGTAAGGCCCTGCGTTCTATCCCCAGCACTGTAAGAAAAAAAAAATCCTTCCCCAATTATTAAATGCATGACCACTATTTTTTTAAAAAGCATGCAAAACTTTGAGGCCAGGTGTGGTGGCGTGCACCTTTAATCCCAGCATTCGGGAGGCAGAGGCAGGATCTCTGAGTCTCTTTAAGTTCAAGGCCAGCCAGGTCTACATAGTGAGTTCCAGGCCAGCTGGGGCTACAGAGAGACCCTGTCTCAAATTAAAAAAAAAAAATCATGCAATACTTTGTGAATACAAATAATATATTTTATTTCATCCCTGAAAACAGTAACAAAACCCAGAAACATTCACATCTAATCAGAGAGACTGGACAAGTACTTCAAACTTCACCTAGCAATAGTACATCATTTCTTCACATAAAAGTACAGAGGAGACAGTGTGGAAAGCTATCTTCCATGAAACAATATATTCTTTTATTTTAAGAAAATATTATAATCATTGCTACTGTTTGTGGTAGCATATTATAGTAATGAACAATACCAAAACTAAATTCAATTTAGTCTAACTCTAGAAGCTGGCTGCACTTAAGCAGTTATTATATAGAATAAATACTATGAAATATAGGATACCATATAGCAATTGAATTTGCTTCAAAGGATATTTAAATAAAGACATTTTATTGTATACTAGAATTACCCAAGATTAAGATTTCTTGTGCTATGTATACAGTAGCTATTTTCCTAAAAAGATAGTCAATCTCCATAACTTATAATTTAAATGTTCTTAACTTTTAAGTGGTCATTATATAAAATGCGTATCTAATGCAAAGTTTCCTAAAGCAGGGTACTCTTATACAACATCAAGTAACATTAACATTTTTCAAGCCATTTTATGCAGCACAAATACATTTATTATATACACCTGGCTAATGTCAAGAGTCTCCTCCTCCCACACCAATATAGTCAAAGGAAAAATGACCAAAATAAAAAAAGAATGTACTCTCCTAATAATAGAAATACTCAAGGGGTTAAACCTTTTCTTTTTTCCATTTTTCCATTTTTTAGAAAGGATCTGCTATGTTGCCCAGGCACTGGCCATGTAAACTTGCAATCGTCCTGCCTCCTCCTGGGTGCCTGTGGCTACAGGCACATGACAATGGGATTTACTTTCAAATCAACATTCATACAAGGGAAAAATCATGAATATTTTCTTTTTAATTTCATCATAAAAATATCTACTATTCTCCAGAATATATGTAAGAAAAATTTAAGTATGAGATTGGAGATTACTCTCTTAATGCTATTAAATTGTCCCCAATGGTCAGGCTAGAGACAGTGGCTGCTACCCATTTCAAAATTATACTCTTTACAAATGCTATTTTAAAAAATATACAGTCAACCTTCAGTTATTTTGAAGGACAGTGCAAATGACGACATTCTTTGGGTCGATCTAAAACATTATTTTCAACATTATATTTCCTTTCTCTGCTCATAATCTGAGGAACAAAATACAGCACTGGAAGTAAGCACATTCTACTAGCAGCTACGTCTAAGGACAGATGACAGAATGGTTCAGTAACAATATTCTCCACTTATCTGAAAACATGTTACAGACTTAAATATTTTATAGAAATGACTTCACATCTTTCTAGTGTTTTTGTTTCTTCTCGCTCTCAAACACAAAACATTTATACCAAGCTCATCTCCTTGTTTACTGTACCAACCGTGTCTTACAATCAATTCTTAACAGATTTGCTGTAAGAACATGGATCAGCACTGAGCAGCTTTGCGTGAAAGCAAACTAATAATGCTTGATATTTATATACAGAATTAGAATTCCAAGAATCCAGCAAACTCCTTGAAAATGTGCAGAGCTTTTATTGTAAAGTATTACTTGTCCTAGCCAGCAATCACAAAGGTTTCCTGCGATGGGACAGAATCCACAGTGGATATAGCTGCACAGGGTGACGTTACTGCTATCTGATGCTGCCCGATGCATTTGTCCTTTTGTTGGTGGTCACTGGCACCAAATTCCCACTAGTACCATTGGTAGTGTTGGCTGCTGAGCCATTGACAACAATATAGTCGACCTTGTTCTCCAGCTTCACCAAACGTTGCAAAATGTCATCCAAGAGCACAGCAATTGTTCTCTTCAGATCCGCTATGGGGAAAAATTGGAATAAACCATGTTAAATGTCAATAGAACACTTAATATTGGGGCTTTTACAGTTTAAGGAAAAGAGGCAAACAATTATTAGGACATCTGAAAGATAATATACTAGAGAGAAGACACACCACAAACAAGGAAAGCCTAATTATTTTAATCAACAGCATTACAAGCAGAGTTCCAAAAGCAGTCATAGTTCTAAAATACATAGGAAACTCCCCACTTCCTAGTGTATAGATCAGATTTAATCTGATTCAAAATAGTAGTTCCTCTGTAAGGGATGTATTTACACTGAGTTTCTTACATAGCTTGTAAAGAATGCCTTAGCCAGGCGTGGTGGTGGTAATGCCAGCACTCAACAGGGAGAGGCAGGCAGATCTCTGTGAGATTGAGGCCAGCCTGGTTCACAGAGCAGGCTCCATGCCAGCTGGGGCTACAGGGAGACCCTGTCTCAAAAAAAGAAAAAAAAAGTCTTAAATCAGGCAGGAAAAGGACAATGAGCTGAGCTAAGTAAGCAATTCAATGAAACACGGACAAGACACCTGGAACGTCCAGACTGAAGGGGATGGACTGGAGAGGGAGCGGTCTCCAGCTCCTCCTCTGCAGGTTACTCAGCAGCTCCCTGCTTACCATACCAACAGTATACCCTATCTATCCACCTACTAAGACTTCTTTGAACTCTGTGACCTCTTTAAACCTTTCCTACCATTCTGAAACCTACACACACGAAACTGTTCAGGCTGTACAAGCCTGATGACCTAAATTTGATTCTGGGAATCCATAGTGAAAGGAGAGAACTGACTCCTGACAGTTTTTCCTCTAACCTTCACACATGTACCATGGCACATATAAACCTAGACTCACACACAATTACACACACACACCACAAAGAAAATAATAAGTACATCAATCCCTGACACATCCTAATTTGTGAGATTTCCTCTGCAATACTTTTCTAATTTCTGATTCAAATAGCAGACCCTCTGTAAGGAACACATTTACACTAAGTTTCTTAAAATAATTACATTATTTTTTATTTCAAGTATATAAGTATATTGCCTGCATGTATATAAGTACATCCATATCGTGTGATGCCAATGAAGGTCAGAAAAGGGGATCAGTTCCCATGGAACTGGAGTTACAGATGGTTTTTAGTCACCATGTGGATGCTGGGAATCAAACCCAGGTCCTCTGCAAGAGCAGCCAGTGTTCTTACCACTGAGCAATCTCTCCAGCCCCTACATTGAATTTCTAAAGTAATTTATAAAGAATGCCTTGGACCAGGCAGGTAAAGTACACTTATACACAACTTTTTTGTGTGATTTAAAAGTGATTATATCTGAAGCTGGGCGTGGTGGCACATGTCTTTAATCACAGCACTTTAGAATCAGAGGCAGGTGGATCTGTGACATCAAGGCCATCCTGGTCTCCATAGTGAGTTCCAGGACAGCTGTGGCTATAGGGAGACCCTCTCAAAAAAGACCAAAAAAAGTGATTATATCTGTGGAATAATGAGTATGATGGATTTTCTATTATATAATAGTTGAATATGTAAACCCAATATTTTTATAAGCAGAAATATGTGTCTGTGTACCTGCTGGTGGATACACCTACACATAAAACATGTAGAGGCCAGAGGTCAATGTCCAGTGTCTTTCTCTATTGCCCTTCAACTTATTTTTTGAGAAAGGGAGTCTCATTGAACTTGGAGCTCACCATCTGGTTAGAACTGCTGGCCAACGAATTCTTAGGCTTCTCCTCTGCTTCCTAGCACCAACATTACAAGAGAGTACCACCACATTCAGGTTCTCATGTAGGTGCTGGGGACGCGAAGTCAGCTCCTCACACTTGGGTAGCATACACTTTACCCACTGAGTCATCTACTAGCCCTCAAAAAAAGTGTTTACTTTGTTCCAAGAATTATTTCAATACTATGTGACCAATAAAAGATGCAGGTATATATTAGCCAACACAGAAATATAACTATCATTTCTAAGTTTTAAGGCACAGTTTTAAAAATAACTACTTGAGGCTGAGTGGTACATGTATATCAAGCATGTCTGAAGCCCTCAGTGGTACCACTAGTACCAGCAAAATAGTAAATAAACAAACAACACACTTATCTATATACAGAGCTAATTTTTGCTCTTAATTTTTTAACTTATTTTTATTTTATGTGTATGAGTGTTCTGCCTGCATGTATGCAAGTATACCTGTGTCATGAAATGCCCTCAGAGGTCAGAAGAGGGAATCAGATCCCCTTGAACTAGAGTTACGAATGGTTGTTAACTGCCATGTGGGTGCTGGAAACTGAACCCGAGCCCTCTGCAAGAGCAACCAGTGCTCTTAACCATGGAGCTGTCTCTCCAGCCCCTAATTTTTGCTTCTAAAACCAAGTTTGTCTAAGGTTAATTCCGCACTATCATGAAGTAAATAAATAAATAATAAATAAATAAATAAATAAATAATAGTTTTATGTACATTTATGCAGACAGAAGAATAGTAAGAAAAGACAAAACATTCAAAGTAATTATATTTGGGTCTGGGGACAGAAGGTTCAGTTGGTAAAGCGCTTGCTACAGAAGTATGAGACCTGAGTTCAGTTCCCAGCACGCACATTAAAAAGTTGGGAGGGGCTGGAGAAATGGCTCAGTGGTTAAGAACGCTGACTGTTCTTACAGAAGACCCAGGTTTGAATCCCAGCACCCACATGGCAGCTAACAACTGTCCATAACTCCAGTCCCAGGGGATCCGACAGCCTCTTCTGTCCTCTGTGGGCACTGCATGACACAGGCGCACTTACCTACATGCAGGCAACACACGCATAAACATAAAATAAAAATAATAATTTTTTTTTAAAGTTGGGCATAGTGGAGCACACCTGTCATCCCAATGTTAGGGAGGAAGAAACAAGGGGGGTTGATAGTCAGCCAGTCTAGCCAAATAGGAAAGCTCCAGGTTCGGTAAGAAACCTGAATCAAAAAAATAAAGTGAAGTTGGGGCTAGAAAGATGGCTCAGCAGTTAAAGATCCAAGTTCAGTTCTACCCATGTTAGGTGACTCATAAACACCTATAACTCCAACACTGCACTCATGTACAGAAACACACACATACACACACTTTTTCACACCCATAAATAATAATTTTTAAAATTTTTTAAATAAGGTGAATGAAGTGCTGAGATTAAGTGGCTGTTGAGCTCAGCCACAAATGGCATCTAAACCACCTCCTTAGAAAATAATGCAGAAGGGATAGAAAGAAAGCAAGAGCAGCCTGGGTGTAACGCATCTGTTGTGCTCTTGAACACACAGCAGCTGTGATTACCTGCCCAAGATCTGCATGAGACCAGGCCTGTCAATATCTTGTCAGGAAGGCAGGCAGAAGCTAACAGGACCCTACCCCTGCCTGGATTTTATATGCAGTTAACATTTTCATAAGTGGTGTAGCCACTAGTAAGGTGCCCATTAAACAACCATAATGAAACTCACTGAGTTACCAAGAAAAAAAAGACATGGAAGTAGAAGGGGGACTAGTTGGCAAGAGAAAGACATGAGCAGGAGTAGGGGAGGCTGAGAGGGTAACAAAGGGCTAATGAATATGATCAATATACATATGTACATGTATGAAAAGGTCATTATGAAATCTATTTTTTAAGTTGTACTATTTTTTTAAATAAATAATTTATTGAGAATTTCATACATGCATTAAGGTGTTTTGATCCATGCCCACTCCCTCCCCCCCAACTCATTAATAGTAGGCAACTTCAATACCCCACT